TCCAGCTGGGGGCGGGGCCGGCCGGCTCTGCACCACCGTGGGTGCCCGGCCTGTGTGTGACGGGGTGGCGCGGTTGCTGCCCAACGAGCGGAGGGGCGACTCAGATTTCAATGCGGATCGAGCCCGGTGGGGTCCTTCCAGGTCCCGGCCAAGATCTGCAGGTCTCCCTCCCTCCGCGTGAGCCAGGAACCGGGCCGGCTGTTCAGTAAAGCAATGGCGAGGGAGGAGGTGTGGAAGCTAGCGAAGTCACAGAATGTGGAGAACCTGGGTGAGCGGGAAGCGCGGTTGACCCCGTACTGAATTCAGAAGCGGACTAGGAGCGGCTAGAAGACCATCCAGTTTATTGTGGAAACAAACAAACAAAACAAAAAAACAACAACAAAAAAAATCAACAACCCCCGTAGAGGAAAAAACTACCGGGAAGAGGCAGAACGCTGACGGGGGTGGGGTGAGCGTCGGGGCGTTCCCTTGCTCCGGAAGTACTGTTTCGTGAGCCTCTGGTCTTCCGGGGCAGATGTCGTCGTAGCAGCTGTAGGGAGGGGAAGCCATTTTTTTGTTTCTGGGAAGAATAAGGAAGAAGCCGAGAGGAAAGCGAGGGGGAAATAACGAGAAAATAAGAGGGCTCAGCCCCTTCCCGCTGAACCGAAGATAGGAAGCAGTTCCGGCTGGTGGGTACGGTCCCGAGGGCCCAGAGATGTTCTCCCTGTCGAGCACTGTGCAGCCCCAGGTGAGCCCAGCTTGTAGTCGTTTTCCTGCGGCACCCCCCCCCCCTTTTTTTTCCTTTGCGACTGTGTTCCGGATGCTGTCGTAGAATCGGTTTTTCGGAAGCAAAGTAGAGAGGGAAGCGACGAGCCCAGTGTGAGTCGCGGGCTGAAAGTAGATCAGGGGACAATGCTCGGAGTATGACCTGCGACTTCAGAGGGTTGGCAACCAAGCCTCAGAGGGCGGAGGCGTGATCTTACAGTGGCGGAGACCCTAGCTTGTCCGATGGCTTGCTCGGCATTTCTGTTAGGAGAATTCAGGCATTGTTGAGGGTTGTACATTCTGAGATGGTTGTGAAGTCTACGCGAGAGGTGAAGAGGACATGTAATGTTCTTTCCATCTTCCTCTCTCTGAAACACCCTTTTTTCCTTCAAGCAGAATTTAGCTCAGACATACCCTAATAATTTGAATAGCCATCATAATTTTTTTTCTTTCTGGCCAGAGTTAACTCGTGTACATTTTTGAGTCATCAGATTCTTACGATTAAATATTTAAAAAATTGATTTATATTCCATATTTTTGGATCCTTTTTCAGGACCCAAATTGTGCTGTTTTTTCCTTGACTCATCATCATCATCGTCGTCATTATTATTATTATTATTATTATTATTATTATTATTATTTGCGGTGGCTGGGGGATGATAACAGACAATGTTTTTTAAGAACTTTCAGGCTGGGCGGTGGTGGTGCACGCCTTTAATCCCAGCACTCGGGAGGCAGAGCCAGGCGGATCTCTGTGATTTCAAGGCCAGCGTGGGCTACCAAGTGAGTTCCAGGAAAAGGCGCAAAGCTACACAGAGAGACTCTGTCTCGGGGAAAACAAACAAACAAACAAACAAACAAAAATACCTTTCAGATTCAGGCCATTTTAATGAATTTTAGTTAATTTATTTTACCTTTTTTGTTCTGGGGGTTTTTGTTTGTTTGTTTTTGTTTTGTTTTTCGAGACAGGGTTTCTCTGTGTAGCTTTGGAGCCTGTCCTGGAACTCTCTTTGAAGACCAGGCTGGCCTTGGACTCACAGAGATCCGCCTGCCTCTGCCTCCCCAGTGCTGGGATGAAAGGTGTGCGCCACCACCGCCCAGCTTATTTTACTTTTTGAGGCAAGGTCTCACTGTGTCTCTTTGCTGGTCCGGAACTCAGAGATTAGCCTGCTTCCGAAGTACTGGGATCAGTAGCTCCCCCCACCACCTCACCAGCTGCACCCTCAACTTCTTATCTTGATATGATTATTCCAGCCAGGCTTGGTGCAGGACTTTAATTCCTTGACTTGGGAGGCAGAGGCAGGTAGAGAGTCTAGACAAGCTTACATAGAGAGAACTTGTCTCAAAAGACCAAACCCCCCCCCCCCAAAGAAAAAAGATTATTCTTTAATTCCTATTACTCCCCTTCTTTTTTGTGTTTCTGTGATGTTGGCTGACTAATGGAGAATGGAATTACTTAGCTGCTGCTTGGGCAGTCAGAGAACAGCATGTGTGGATTCCCACCAGTGGGTGGAAGGAAAGGTGAACAGTAAGCAGGAATTTCAGGCAGACAGAAAAATATAAAGCATGAAAAGTCCTGTGAACACCAAGAGTGAGGCCAGTGTGGCAGGAATGCAGTGATTGAAGGGAGTGGTGTCGGAGAGGAAGTTAGAGAGGAGAGAGCCTCAGGACAGTTAAGGGAGTTGGTTTGGTTTCTGTGACCAGATTTGCATTTGTAGGCTTTCTCTGGCAGCTTGTGTGGAAAATACCAGAGGGCAAAAGTGTTAACGATTTAAGGATGCTGTTGGCCCTAACACAGGAAAGGGATGCTGTCCCAATAAAGTGATGTTAGTAATTATGGAAAATAAATGGATGTGTCTAGTGTGGCACCTCTAATTCCAGACTTGAGGGAGGGGGCAAGAGGATTAGGAATTGGCAGCCAACTTGTCCCAGGTGGAAAAAATAGAATTTGACTTGGTTTTTAGTGTGGGAGACGGTGGAAAGTGATGGTTCTGTTTTGGTCAGCCTGATACAGGATAATGGTTGTTTTCTAAGATGACAATGTCGGGGAAGTTTTAGTGATTGAAGAAGCAGTCTGATAGGAACTGTTGAATATAATTTTAATTAATTTCTATCAAGAAGATATGATGAATAATTTACTGTCCTGGAGTAGAAGACATAACATGGTAGAAGGGTAAAAGAGAGCCAGGTGGGAAACCCACTCTGGTGACTGCACCAGTCTGTTCCTAAGGACAGGACTTCCGGGACCTAAAGCCATGTGCCTTTGGGTCTCATAAAACTGGATCTCCCTGTGTAACACAGAGTGATTGGCTTGTAGTAATGCACTATCTTCTAGCTAAACACCTCCTACTTACTGCTGTTATAATGGAAGCTGAACTCAGCATGAATTTTAAAGGGAATATGCCTTCAAATCACAGCAAGATACAGTAATAGTTAATTTTTATGTCACAGAGACTAATTATTTAAATTATGAGGCTTGGTATATACTCAGAACCATTATTTTATTCACTCAACAAAACACATCTTTATTATTCCCTGTATACACTCTTATGTTGGAATGCAACATTGAATATTAAAATAGAAAAAATATGGTGTTTATCTTTTAATTAGATAATATGATACTTATATTAATTTGATTAATTAATATAATTTTATTAATCATATTAATAAAAGAAATACTTAATTTTATGGTCTTCCTGGTGACAAACTTTTGTGAAATTCTTAGAATTTCTTGAGTTATTAGTAATCACAAGCCCTCATGGATTACATCTGTGTTTGTCCTAATGAGGTGACCTGAATCTGCAAATAACCTCAGAGTGGGACTACTCAGACCAGATAATTTCATCATACTGTAATTCCCCCATCTTCAGGCAGTAGTTGATCTGCTAGGTAGTACTCCCATGTGGAAGAGGGTTACATCATAACTCCAGAGAGGATGTCCTCCGCTATGTGTTCTTTCCAGGCCTGTCCAATATACTACTTTTTGTTCATTTCTGTTTCTTCTTACAGATGGGTAAATGTAAATAAAGTGTTTTCATGTGTTCTTTGAGCCGTTTCTAACCCAGAGAGCAAAGGAATACATAATGAAGGGAGGTAATAAAGAACCAAACTGGAGAAGATATTCAGGTTCTACAGGTATTAGATTTTAAGCAGAAGAGTGATCTCACAGACTTTGATTTTAATATGATCACTTTTATCTCATGCTGGGGAATGTGTTGCAGCTGGGTAAGGGCAGGATTTATGACAAGGTGGTGGCCGTGAAGAAGTACAAAATCAGAAAAGCCAGATATGGACTTTTGCTTTTAATGTTGATGAAGTATTCTGTGAAAGTGACTTTTATTTTGCTACTTCCCTCGTGGTAATGCTCTCCAGCTTTTCATTTACTTTAAAACTATGTTGGTAAATATTGCCCTGTTAGTGTGCATGCATTTGTCAAATTATTTCTTTAGATTAAATTTCTAGAAAGTAGACTTTGGAGGATGAAAATATATGTATTTCAAATTAATTGTTGTAACATGGTCACTGTGTAGTCCTGGCTGTCCTTGAACTCTGTGTAGACCAAGCTAGGCTTGAACTTAGAGAGATCTGCCTGTCTCTTCCTCCCCAGTGCTGGAATAAAAAGTATATTCCACCATGCCTGTCTTCTAATGTATCCAGAATAGTATCATGAAAGAATAAACCAATTTTCTTTCTACCTTTGGTAAATGAGGATGGTTAATTTTTAATGTCTAGTTTTTTGTTTGTTTGTTTTGTTCTTGCGTGTGCATCTGTGTTTACTCCATCTGTGCCAATCTTTTTGGGTATGTGTTTGAGGGTTTGCTGCTGGATCTCAAACCTAGACCATCCTCCATGCTGAGCATAGCTTTACCCCTGAGCTTACCCATAATTTTGACATGTGGTGTATGTTTAACTTTTAGCAGATTCTAAATCCTGACCAGAAAAAAGATTATTTCTGTTATTTTTTTTAACATGCCGCTTAATTTGAACTTTGACCTTTTTTTCTAGGTTACAGTTCCTCTTAGTCATCTCATCAATGCCTTCCATTCACCAAAAACCGGATCTGTTTCTGTCAATACGTCTGTTTCTCAAAAACATCGAGATACAGTTCCTGAGCAGGACACTCCCAGTAGTGAGGTAATAGTTACTTGAACTAGTTTTTTTGGTTTTTCTCTGTGTAGCTTTGGCACCTTTCCTGGAACTCACTCTGTAGACCAGGCTGGCCTCGAGCTCACATAGATCCACCTGCCTCTGCCTCCTGAGTGCTGGGATTAAAGGTGTGCACCACTACCACATGAGAAAGCTTTTTGATATGGTGAATTTTAATCATAATTGGTCATTTAGACATTTGTACCAATGCTTTCTGCTTTTGGTTTAATGTTTGTAATTAAAGGTAATTAATTCTGGCTTTTGTTGTACGTATTAAGAGTATTAATTTATTTGTTGTTTTAAAATATTTATATGACATTGTATTTGGTATGTACCTCCCATATTACTCCTTGTTGATACCAATTAGTTTTTCTTCTTTTTAAATAAAAAGTCTTAAAATTTTTTTAGTTATTCATTTTTATTTTGTGTATATTAATTTTTGCATGTATGTATATTTGTGTACCATGTACATCCTGGTGTCCATAGAGGTTAGAATAGGGTGTCAAATCCCCTGGAACTGGGTACTAGAACTGGACTGAACCCTGGTCCTTTGCAACAGCAGAAAAAGGGCTCTTAACTGCTGAGCTATTTCTCTAGCCCCTTTTCTTCCTTTTAAAAATAAAATTGAAAAAATTGACATTTTCATAAACATTGTCACGTGTTTGGTCATTTTCATCCCATTCCTCTGCTTTCTTCTAACAAGCCTCCCTCCTGTTTTCACGTCTTCGTTGTTACTGTGTTGATTTGGCTTGGTTGGTTGTTTGTGACCCACCCAGTTTAACTAGGGTTGCTTGTATGAGTGGTGGGTTACTTACTGGAGAGTGGCAGCCTTCTGGTGGCTGCATCCCTTAGGGAAGTGATTCCTCTCCCATAGCAGCCATCAACTGCATAGCTCCTCAGGGAGGAATGGGATGCTAGAACTCACAGGTTACTGACAATTGTGACTTCAGTCTCAAGGAAGTTAGCAGCATAGTGATGCCTTCATTGTCTACTGCCTTATAGATACATTTAGTGTAATTAAACACTAATTAATCAAACATTTAGTGGAATTATAGATACATTTAGTGTAATTAACTAGAGTGGGCATGGTGACACAGCTGGAACCTCAGCCCTCCAGGGGCCCAGTCAGGAGGATTGAGAGTTTGAGATCAGCCTGCACTCTAGTCTCAAACAACCAATTCAAAAACAAAACAACAGCTGGGCAGTGGTCGTGCACACCTTTAACTCCAGCACTAGGGAGGCAGAGGCAGACAGATCTCTTGAGTTCAGGGCTGGCTCTAGAAAGTTTTCAAAAAACCCTTGTAATCTGTAAATACCCAATGTTCTTAGTTTCAGTGTCAGGAGCTATGGCAGAGGAGGACAATAGAGGAAAAAATAGAAAAGAAACTTGTTTGAGGTGGTGACGGTCATGGGTCAGAATCTTGGACTCGGGGGACCTTCTGCCAGGATTGTATGTGTGCCCCAGCATGCCTGGCATGATGAAACATTTTGATTAAATGGAAAGCTTGTCTTCTCATCTTTGTACTTTCTTTTACCCTATTTGCCCAGTTTTCTTGTTCCTTTTTGTAGGCACGCCATTACTTTTCTTCTCTTTTGATAACCTTGCTCTCCAATCATACAGTCCAAGAAAACCTTACTACTGAAAATACTGTAAAGTTGCATTTATAAGTTAAACATAGTAAGAGATTAATAACAACTAATAATAGAAGAATGATTATTATTATAATGAAAGTTACATCAATGTTATCTCACTTAAAATAGTCTGATTTACTGTACTCCACCCAGCAAATAATTATTCTTATGAATGACAGATGAGAGTTAGGTTGGCACTAGATCACAGTGCTTTATGTGTGGAACAGGCAAACAGTGTAAAGCCTTTCACCTCATTGTGAATCATAATGTTTAACTAACTGGTGCTTTTGGTTACAGTGAGAAATACTTTTTCTATTATGAAATGTCATCTATTTTGGGATACTATTAGGAATTTTTTTTTCCCAAAACCCGGAATGAACCTTAGTAAAACTAGAACATTAGAATGCTTGTATTAACTTACTTTAATAATTAATAAATCAGTACACTTTTATATTTTAAAAAATTCTTGTTTTTGATAAGTATCCTTTAACTGTTTCACTAATGTTAATTTGGCTGATTTGTCTTTTATAGCCTGTACTTAATTTAAGGGACCTTGGATTATCTGAATTAAAAATTGGACAGATTGATCAACTGGTAGAAAATTTACTTCCTGGATTTTATAAAGACAAAAGAGTTTCTTCCCATTGGCATACATCTCATGTCTCGGCACAGTCCTTCTTTGAAAATAAATATGGTATGTTAGTTATTGTCATTTCTAACTTATTGATAATGATTATAATGTATTATTAGCATTTACTATGGGCCAGTTCTCTTTTGAGGTAGGGATTTTTTTTTTTTTATCTTTTTTCTTACTGCGATAATGTTAGATTTATAGAAAAAATTTTAAAGTACAGAGAATTTCTCTGTACTCTTTTGATTCCCGTAATATTGACATCAGGGCTTGTTCATGCTATGAGCATTTTACCACGGAGCTACATATCCAGTCCATGAATGTGTTTTGTGTAGTACTCCATGGGATTGAACCCATGACCTCATTGAAGCTAGGCAAGTACTCTCCTTGTTAACTGAGTTACATCTTTAACCCTTTTATTATTTTCCATTTTGAGCCAGGGTTTTGGCAAGTTGTCCATTCAGATCTGAAATTTGGAGTTTTCCTGCCTCAACCTCCTGAATAGCTGGGATTATAGGAAATAGCCTGTGCCGCATGTGTATGTTTCTTTGTGTAGCCCTGGCTGTCCTGGAATTCACTGCATAGGCCAGGCTGGCCTCGAATTCAAGAGATCCACTTGCCTTTGCCTCCTAGGTGCTGGGATTAAGTTAAAGCCATGCGCTACCAGCCTAGAGTCTTCTTAAAATATCAAAATATCAAGGCTGGAAAGATGGCTCAAAGGTTAGTACTATTCTTAGTACTTATTCAAAGATTCTGAGTTCTATTCCCAGCAACTACATGGTGGCTCATGACCATTTGTAATGAGATCTGGTGCCCTCTTCTGCCATGCAGGCACACATTCAGGCAGAACACTGTATATATAATTTTAAAAAAAATTCAAAATACCTGTTTCATATTGATGGAAGAAAAGTTTTAAAAATCAGTATACATTGTAGGAGTCCAAGAATAAAAGAAGACTAAAAGAATGTAAGAGTGAGGAAAAAGTAGAACAGTGTAAGGTTTGAGGGCTTAGCCTAACAGTCTGAGGCTCTTGTTTAGACTTCCTAAAGTGTTTGGCCCATAGCAAATCTTGAGGTTACATTGTTTAATGTGTTAATACTCTTATTCTCCTGCTCTAACCTGCATTACAATTCAAGATTCTTCATGCTATGAGGTACTTGCTCCACTTGGGCAGACGGAAATATTAGAAATGAGTTTCTTAGTTGCACTCCTAAGAAATTTTTGAAAAATGCTTTAAGTCTAATTAGGACATATAAACAAATAACAATCATTGAGGAGTTGGGACTGGGAGTATGTAGTTCAGTAATACTGTATGGCCTTGTGTTACAAGCCTGGCTATCAAAACGCTTTTATGCTTTGTTTTTTGTTTTTTGTTTGTTTTTTTTTGTTTTTTTGTTTTTGTTTTTTTTTTGAGACACAGTCTCCGTATGTAGCTCTGGCTGTGGAATTCACTATGTAGATCAGTCTGGCCTTGAACTCAGAGTTCTACCTGCTTCTGCCTCCAGAGCTCTGGATTAAAGATACTTATAAATCAGATTAGAAGCTGTGTTTACAGTGATCTATGGTATCATTAGAGCTTGAAATGGTTTTAAGCAATAGTAGTTCTTTATCACTGTATCTTTTTAATAAAAGAGATTGTTTTTGTTTTTACCTCTGCTATAATCACATGCCAGAGAAAAATAGTAATCTAACATAAGTGATAGTGAAATGAGGAACTGTAAGATATAAAATAGTTAAAGCATCAAATGTCTTTTTAAAAATGTTTATACTATGGACAAATACTATGTGAAACTCATGTTTTATGATTTTCCTTGTTTTATAAATTTATATTTTATACAATTTTTCATACATTTTTGTTTTGTCTTGACAATTAGACAACAGCTTCTTCCAATTTCCTTCCAGGTCACTTAGATATGTTCAGTACACTACGCTCCTCTAGCTTGTACAGACAACATCCAAAAACTCTTCGAAGCATTTGTTCAGATCTTCAGTATTTTCCAGGTATGAAACAGCTATATTTATTTGAAAAACTTGATAGGTATGTTTAATAAGACTTGTTTTTGTTAATGGTGGTAATTAAATGTCTATTCATAGTATAGTGGACTTGAAATTATTTGGAATTATTAATTCACTTAGTTCTTTATTTTTTTATTATTATTAAGAAATTTTTTATTCATTTTACATACCAACCACAGATCTCCCTCCTCCTGCCCCCCCAGTCTTCCCCTCCAACCCCCTCCCATTCCCACCTCCTCCAAGACAAGGTCTCCCATGGGGACTCAGCAGAGGCCAGTACATTCAGTTGAGGCAGGTCCAAGCCCCTTCTCACTGCACCAAGGCTGCGCAAGGTGTCACACCATAGGCCTGGTCTTCAGAAAGCCTGCTCATAGTTCTGTATTTTTTGAGAGAGGGTTCATTATGTTAACCTAGACTGGCTTGTAACTTGTAGTCTCCCTCAGCCTCTTATATGTTGGCCACCATGCCTAGCTTTCTTTATGAACTTTTGGGGAAAAAAAATTCTTATTATTTTATAAGTATTGTTGTTCCATCTGCATGTATGTCTGTGCACCATGCATGCCTGGTTTCCTCTGAGGCCAGAAAAGAGCATCAATTCTCCTGAAACTGGAGTTACTGATGGCTGTGAGCCAGCCACCTTGTAGATGCTAGAAATTGAGCCCAGGTCCTCTGGAAGAGCACCCAGTCCTGGTAACTACTTAGCCTTCTCTCTAGTCCTCTTTATCAACTCTGAGCTACAAAATAATAATAGAAGCTGTGTGTGGGTGCTAAGTACCAAGGTAAATCAGACATACAGAACTCATCTATACCTGTTTCAAAATAATTAACTAAGCATTTTTATTTATTGCCCTCACATTAAAATAAAAAAACATAGAAATGACAGAAAAAAATTAAAGTAAGGCAAACAAAATGGAGAACATCAATGCTTTCATTAATATCTCAGAAAGATGAGGACTTTAAATAAAGCCTTAAAGTAGGTGACACCAAATTGATAGCATTGTTTGCTACTTTCATGCAACTTAGGGGTAGTCAGTGATTCTCAGCCTGTGGATCATGACTTCTTTGGGGGTCACCTATCAGATAGTTACAATTCATAACAGTGGTAAAATTACATTTATGAAGAAGCAATGAAGTAATTTTATGGTTAGGGTCATCACAACATGAGGAAATGTATTAAAGAGTAGCAGCATTAGGAAGGCTGAGAACCACTGGGCTAGAGTGTCATAAATGATGTGAATGCTGCTGTTTCTAGTAGAACTTAAGAAAAATATCAAACTTGGAGTCAGTAAGAACGGACTTTGGGACTTGTCTTAGTTTGGCTTTTGTTCCTATGATAAACACTGGCCAAAAGCAACTTGGGGAGGAAGTGATTTATTTGGCTTACAGGTCCTAATCACAGTCCATCATTGAGGCAAATCAAGACAAACACAGAAGCAGGAATCTGGAGGTAGGAACTGCAGCAGAGGCCATGGAGGAGTCCCGTGGTTTCTCTGCTCTCTTTCTTGTGTAACTCAGCATCCCTTGCCCGGTGGTGACAGCATCCCCTTGTGGGCTGGACCCTCTCCCATCAGTCGCTAAGCCAGTACCTGAAGACTTGCCTCCAGGCCAGTCTTATGAAGG